GCATCACACTCTCCCACAAAGCAACCAATTTGCAAGTATGAAAAAGCAATAACAGACAAGCTGGGGCCGCTAGAGCTCAGGGGAAGAGGAGGAGAGACCTACCGAGTGCATGAAAGCAGGAGAAGCCATGATGAGAGAAAGAAAAAACCGCTCTGACTGTTTTGAGCCTTGACCGCTTCAAGGCTGGAGCGGCTGAGTACACAGAGCAGGAGGTGGCAAAAGCCATTGCTGTGCCCTTCGGATGAAGTTGCTTGGAGGCAGCAGGGGAGAAGAGGGCCTTGGTGGCCCCCAGACCAGCAATACCCCTAATTGGGTTCCCATGGACCCACATATGATTGAGGAGCCACAACACCTGAAAAAAAGGAGCCACTCAGAGGCCAATGAGTCATCGCAAGGGAGCAGAGCATGGCCTGTCCCATGGGACATGTTTGCAGCATGGGCGGTGGGGGAGACGGGTCCACTGGGGGAACATTGGGGCACAGCAAGAACAGCTGATCTCACCCCAGTCAGCATAGGACCACTCAGAGGAGACTGGTCAGGAATATAGAATTGCATGGGGTGCAGTTTGATGAAAAAACTCAGGCTCAGACCAGAGTTTCTACACAACCCAGGTGCACCAGATTTCACTAGACCTAGAATTACCTTTAAAGTCAACCATTAAAACCTGAGCTGCACAAAAAGCCTTCCCTTGGGAATCAGCAGCAAAGCAGCAATTTAGCTCAACCACAGAGCTCAAGTACTGGTCCCACAGGAAGTTCCCCCATTTTAGAAGTAAGCAAAGGACAACAAATTAGTTCCAGCACAGAGTTTAAGTGGTGGGAACAGCAAATAATCCAACACAAAACTGAAAGAATAAACCCACAGACCAGAGACAAAATACCCACAGACCAGAGACAAAGTTTGATACTAACTAGTAAAAGTCTCATTTCACCAAAGAACACCTATGACACATAGAAGGACTGGAAGTCCGCTGGGCTACCAAGCCAGAAAGTGGGGAGGGCCAGGGGCCTCAGCAATGCCACCCAACACCCACAATCAGTCCCGCAGGTTGGGGATGAGGGACTTGGCCATGCCCCCCAACACACATAGCCAGCCCAGTGGTGACCACCGAGCCACCACAGGAAGTGCCCTGGGCTCTCCTGGGCCAGGGGGTAGGTAACCTTGGGCCTCAGCCACATCCCACTGACATGTGCAGCCAGCCCAGTGATGACCACTGAGCCACTGCAGAAAATACCCTGGGCTCTCCTAAGCCAGGGAGGTGGGGGGCCTTGGGCCTCGGTCATGCCCCCCCAAAATGTGCAACCACCCCAGCGAAGACCACCAAGCTGCAGCAAGAAGGGCCCCAGGTTCTCGAGCTGGGGTGGTGGGGGGTGAGGGCTTTTGCCACACCCCTCTGACATATGCACCCAGCCTGGCAATGACCATGCCACTGCTGGAAGCCCCCTAGTCTCCCCTGTAGGAATGAGGTGGGTGCCACAGGCCTCAATCCCTTTCCTTCTCCTTCCTCCTTTTTCCGTCGCATTTCCTTGCCCCTTCTCCTCTCCCCCTCCCTCCCAACTGCTCTGCAACAACATCCTAGAATGTAAAAAAAAAAAAATTAATAAAATGACATTTTCTTAAAAAAAAATAATATAAACGTCAGTGTTATTTTCATTATGGTTATTTTTAGATGAATATGAAAACAGTTTTACATAAAATATTTCTGTTTCGGAGACTTTAGAAATTATTTTGGAGGAGTAAATCCCATGTAAGTATATATTTTTTAAAAAATTAATTTTAGGGCCGGCCTGGTGGCGCACTGGAGAGTGCGCCGCTTGGGAGTGTGGCGGCGCTCCTGCTGAGGGTTTGGATCCCATGTGGAGACCGGTTCCTGCTCACTGGCTGAGCGCGGTGCGGGCACGACACCGAGGGTTGCGATCTTGTTACCAGTCAGTAAAAAAGACAAAAAGGAAAAAAAAAATTAATTTTAAAAAATGACACATATCCAAGGTTGTCTAGGTTTTCTCATTTTTTCCTTTTTTTTTTTTTTTTTTTTTTTTTTG